TTGCCCTAATAAGAAAAATTTGTTTTTTCTTAAACTTCTCAAAATACACTGGCTTTTCAACACCTATCTGAAGAGTTCCTGTCTCATCTTCCAACAAAAAAATTAAGTAACCTTTCATAGCCAGAATGAAGTTTTTATAATAAAGCACTATTATAGGATGATGTCAAACCAATGTGGATTTGGAAGTGGTGACACCAGAGTAATTTCGAGTAACACTAATGCTATTCCTTTTGGCTTTCAGGCATCAAGACACCAGAGAGGATGTGACCCACTCTATCTGTTTACATGGATAACAATCCGAGTGAGGACAGTGGAGCCAGGGAGCACCAAGAGCAGCACTGAAGGGCAAAGGCTATGGCTGTTCATCACAGCCTCTCTTCTGGTTGTCCAGTGGTGCCAATGTAGCAACAGCTATGTCTGTATATCAAAGACTAGATAGGAAAATCCACATCGCCTCTTAAACTGTTTCACGGAATACATGTTCTACCTCATATTACTAAGTATTCAGTGAAATTAAAAAAGAAAAAAACCCACCGTTTCGTGTTTTAAGAAATGCTGCTTTAAACAAGGTTAAATAATTTTTTTTATTGTGCAACTTTCCAGAATAGTTAATAAACTGATGTGCACTGTGAGTCTCTATGATAAGATTTTAGGATGGAGCATTTTCAAGTTTGTTGGACTAGTGGACTAGAGGCCTTTTTTTTTTTTTTTTTTTAAGAAAGCACTAATTCACATTTCATGCAACACTGATGACGGCTAGTACTGGGGAAACCCTACATCTATGGTCTCAGCAATGGTGTGGAGGGGCTAGTGTGGGATGTTGTGACTGGTATTAACCGGCACAATCAGACACACACATGCATGGTGTGTTTGTTTCCTGTTGCTACTATAACACATTACTACAGACTTACATGTCTTAAAATTACACACATATATTACCTATAGTCCTCACATGTTAGAGGCTGACAGGGGTCTCACTGGGACCCCTCACATGAAGTCCATGTGTGGATGGGGCTGCGTGCCCTCTGGAGCTCCAGGGAGACTCTGTTCCTTGCCTTTCCCAGTTTTAGGGGCTTCCTGCATTCTTCGTGTCACTGCCCAGTTCCCCCTCTTCAAAGCCAGCAACACTGCATCCCTCTGATCATTCTGCTGTATTACCTCCCGCTGACCACAGACAAGGAAAGTGCTCAGCTTTTAAACATTCATGCTAAAGATTCATGTGATTAGATTAGGTCCACTTGAATAGTCCAGGCTAATCTCCCCATCTCAATGTCGGCAAAGTCCCTTTTTGCCATGTAAGGTAAAGTCATCACAGACCCCAGGAATTTGAGTTTGGACATCTTCGGGAGCTCCTGCAATATTAGTCTGCCTACCACCCATGCGTTGGTAAGAATACCTTCAGAATTTTGGCCAGCAAGTTTGACAAATAAGAAAGAGAGCAACTGTTCCTACTGTTTGCTTGATTTTTCCCCAGCTATTACTTATAACATCACACTACCAGGGAAATAAAAATTATTGTCTCATTAAGGGATGTAGAACAGTAAACACAATATGAAACATGTTCCCAAACACCAAGAACTTGGGGCTGTGTCCACAGTGTAGAGAAGAGCACGCAAGTGCTCTGGGAAGGAGATTTTCCACAAACACAGCCAGCTGGCTTCTCAAGAACGTGGGCCTGACTCTAGAAGCTGTGCATTTTCCAGTAGGAGGTGCATACATACAACTGCAAAGCTTTGTCAAAGCTTTTCTTACTAAGGGGCCATGTACTCATTACCTCCCATGACACAGGTACTATAACTGTCCCATTTTATAGGTGAGAAAATGAATATACTCTACGGTTATCTTACTTGGCAAGATCCTGCTTTCACCAAACCAGTAAAAAATTCATAACTGATTCCATAACCTGAGGTCTTAATCTTATGCAATACTGTGTCTATTCACTTTTATAACCCATCTCTCCAGTAATTCTTCTCTCTACCTCTCCTCAACCCAAGGGTGCACACATATGGTTGTACAGGTGTGTGTGTGCACACTTGCACTCATGCACACATTCAGAGACTCCAGTGATTCTCTCTCTGTCGTTTGTATCTTTATGAGGCTTTATGCCTTGATGATATATCTCTTTCTGTTTTGATCTCTGATGAGGTATGGAAACTTCTGGGTCACCGGCAGAATGTCACAAGTACATGGCTTAGAGTCATATCAAGCTTTAAAATGCGGCTAGGTCAGCATCGCCTGTGAAGTGACTCAGCAAGTTACATGAGCACAGTGAACTTCTGCTTCCTCTTCCTGTGGGAGATTGGGAATAATATCTGCTTCACAGGGGCATTGCAAGGATTAAAGTAAGTGGTATATGTAAAGTACCTGATAGATAATAATAATGCATTGTTATTATATACATGTAATAAATTGTAGTTGATACTATTACCATCTATTCCTTGCTGTGCTTTACCTACATAAAAGAGCTATTTAAAGTTCTAGTCTCTGTGAAAGATGCCCATTGACAACATCTAATTATATCAGCGACAGTTGTAGAACCAACAGTCATAGTTAATTCACACCCTATTGCTAAGGTGTGATTCATGCTACTCCACACAAATTTCTTCTAAAGGGCCATGGCTGCTGCTGGGAGAACTGGGGCCTGAGACGACTTGAAATTTACTAATCACATCTGGTTTAGCTTTAGACATTTTCTGGGGTTTTGCCAGCAGTCACGACATTTTAATGGCTACAATAAACCTCAAAGCCTCATCAAATCTTTGCTGTATGTGTGAAAATTATGTCCTCTTCAATTAAACATCCAATCGAGGCTCACACCAAGGCCTTATGGAGACGGAGGTGCAGCCTGAACAAGAACGTGAGATGAAACGGACCGCCACGACTCTGGCCATCTTGCCAGATGGCATTGAGAAGAAAAAGAAATTCATTAGAGAACCAATGGTCTGTATTTTCTTTAAATATTTACTAGGTACCTTTCATGTGTGGAAAGCACTGGCATCTCTAAAGATTAGCAGGGCATTTTTGTTTAAATATTCAATGAGTGTGAGGAGCCCTAGTTTCCTCCATCACCCTTATGGTACCTCGTGTCCTTCAGTTAAATCACTGAGGCGACGCTCAGTTTTCCTTCCTACGGCAGCTCCTCCAACTTCAGAAGTTTGGTATTTCCTTAAAGTTGAGGAAAGTGTGAATTGAGTACTGAGAGATCTGGAATGACAGCTGGGATCTCCCTAGAGAAAGTAACGTATACCAAAAGTGGGGAGCTTTGGGGGAGCCCCTGCCTGTCCACTGTCTTCCTAATTCACTCTTCTGGCCCCTTTGTGATTTATCGTCAAACACACAGGAGCGTCACAGGGCGGTGGCTGAGCCAGGGTGCCTGAAAGGGGCAGTCCCTGGAAGGAAGGCAGGAAAAGAGGAAAGATCACACATGGATCAGGTTTCTGTTCAAAAGACCAGATGACAGGACAGGCCCCGGGTGTCACATGGGCCACAAGATGAAGGCCAGCATTCAGGGTGGCCACGGAGGGAACAGGCACAGGTCCTCCCTGCCACTGCTCCTGAGGCAGCCACTCCCAGGACTGGCCTGCGCCCTGATTCTGCCATTGGAGACAGACAGAAACAAACTGCTACGTGATGGCTTCCTCCCCTTTATTACGATGAGAATCAAGCTCCTCATCTTAGACAAGGATAAAACTGTTTTGTTTTTTTAAGGGAAGGGAAAAGTATAACCACAAGTTCACGTATCACATTCCTGAACAAAGCACTCATTTGGTTGAATTCGAGCTCTCAACCACATCAACAGGAGGGGAAAAAAATCCGCATGTTCCTTTAAAAATAATTTACAAGGTAAAAGTATTCACTTGTAACCACTATCCTTATTTAAGCAAGTTTTATGCCCAAAGTAAAAACAAATGGCTCTCTCTGCCACTAGGAGCAGATCTTTCCCACTTGCCTTCCATTTCCAAGCTGTTCTCTGTCTAAGACTTAGGTTTCTGAGCACTCTTTCACAATAAACATTTTTTAAATGTTTATTTTATGTCTTAGTGTAAAAATATTCCTGGTTCGAGCTCTTCATTTCCTCAAGCTCTCCTTTTGGCACTCTGGGCTCCATTTCCACATTAACACGCTGCCTAAATCCTCCGCAGAGCTCTTCAGTTGGAGTTATACAAGCTCCAGCGCAAGTATTTATATCCTTGGACAAGGAGATGTCTCCACAGTGAAAACACAAGGCTCTAGAAATGCCAAAGGAAAATTCCTGCCCAAGAGAGACATATTTTCACCTTTTAAAAAAAGCCAAAAGGGGCTTTCAGTATTTTGTTTTGAATAATTAAAAATGTAAATTAAACTAAAATAGAATATTTACTATGGTCTTGCCATCATTATTGGACTCATATATATATGTAAACCAAATTTATAGGAACATGTGTGTGAGTGTGTGTGTATGTGTGTGAGAGAGAGAAAGGGAGAGAGAGAGAAAGACAGCAAGAGAGGGAGGGAGGGAGGGAGAAAGACAGCATTGTAAACTTGTTTAGAAAATACACGAGTTCTAATCACATAGATCTGATTAGTGCTTAGTAAATCTACTTCTCATTGGCTGTGTGAACATAATTTATCCAAGCCTCATTTTTCTTATCTGTAAAAGAGAGTTAGTATAGTTCCTGCTTATTAGGATTGTTATAAGGATTATATGAGACAACAGTAAGCATTCAATAAAGGGTTGGTGCTATTATAATTATTAAAATTATATCTACTGTATGTTGGCAAATGTAGATGAAACAAGATGTAGGTATAATAAGTACTAATTAACACTGGTAAGAGAGGGCTATGGAAATGCAGTGCCCCTAAAAAGTGTGCAGAGACGAGAAGTGTCCCGAGGGCTTTAGAATGCCGAAACTGAATGCTGCACTGGTTCCATTCCATGAGCCAGACAATAAATAATTCTCTTAAATCATTTTTTTAAAAAATCTTAGCTATCATCATAATAACGGAACAGTTCCTGTTACCTTCTAGTTGCTTCTTCAGTTTTCTCAAGTCTTTTATAAGGTCTTCAAACTTGACTTGGGAAGCCAGAAAAAAATCTTGTGGTTCAGGCAGGGGGAAGACACTCTTTTCTGTTCCTGCTTCCTAAAAGACACAGTAAAGAAAAGTACATTATACCCCTAGTTGTCACTTTCGGTTGAAATTCCAAAGCATCTTTTATTGAATGTTTGAATAAAAAATCGTACCAATGCTCCTCTGCTATTCTTCAATTTGGACTGGTGACTTTGAAGTGCTTTCGTGTCTTTCACAATATCATTTTGGTCTTACGGGCATTTAGATTGGCTATGGCATGGGCTAGGTTCTATTTTGCCTCATGAATCAAAGAGAAAATTGTCAGGTATGTCCTGATCTTGGACACCCTACGTCCATGGAAAAAGGCTTAGGAGGAACACATGAAAGCACTTAAATCGAAAGTCCCGGTTTGAATTGCACATGGTAACAATTAGATAACTCATGTTTGGGGTATGTCAATGGGTATGAATTGGAAGGTGCTGGATACGTCAGCATTACAATGGAAGGAACAACCACCCTCTCTATGCCTTTACCTACCTTCCTCTGCAACTTAAAGTGTGTGTGTGTGTGTGTGTGTGAGAGAGAGAGAGAGAGAGAGAGAGAGAGAGAGAGAGAGAGAGATTGAGAGAGAGAGAATTCTTCGCATATTTGTAAAAATTTTGTTTGGCTAGTCTCACCAGATATTTAACGGGGACACAACTGAGTAGAGTTTTTGACAAGCCCCACAACTATACCTCATAGAGTACCTGCGCTGAGAAACATCTTGAGGGACAAAACCTTCATCAGGCACATTGAAAGATAAGCTGAGCCTCCAATTTCTTTTCCAGCCTATCTTGCTTTTTTCTGAGTTGTTTAATGTAAGCTCCGTATCTTGCATATCTCAGACAGTCTTCAGGTCTCCACAAAGGCAACTTTGCCAGCTTTCCTTCACATTCCATCTTTCCTACTGCCATTAGGATGAGTTCCAAATGCTGAAACTGCTTTACAAGGCACTTTATGATCTGGCCTCTGTCTACATCTCCAGCCTTATTTCTACCTTCCTCCCATCTCTAACTCCCCTCCCCAAACTTTCATAAAATAAAAGGACAGGCCACACTCTTGTGCCTCTAGGCTTTTGTAAAACTTTTACCTGAAACTGTCCCTTTCCAACCCTTCCCCAGAATGTCCTCATACCTCCATGTCCACACTTGTCCTTCAAGTCTCAAAACATTTGTCAATCCCTGAAAGATTTCCCCTAAGTCCCAGCAACTAACTCTTGGGCGTTTCCAAGAGCCCCTCCTACTTACCATTGTTACAGCACTTACCAATATTAATTTACAAACTGCTGTGTTAACTTTTATATCTTCCCCACTAGACAGAAAGGCAGGAAGTCTTGGTCTCAGTATGGAACATAACCTTTGGCGTGCCAATAAACTTTGGAAACATCACCAGGATGCTCAAAAACACTGTTCTTGGAAATCTGTACCTTTAGCAGGAGACACCTAACTTACCTTCATAGTTTCTTGTGATTTCAGGGATTCCTTGGACCCCTCCCTTTCCTTTAAGACCTTTAGCTTTACTTGGAATGCTAGAAGAAGGTGGTTCTCTTCATTTGATCAGGATTTTACGTGATCAATGCACTTGTTTTCATCTTCCAATACTTATTTTACTACTTTAAAAACCATGGAAGCAGTATCTAGTCTGAGTACTAGATGGAACGACACCTACGATGTTTGCCACAAAACTCCACGGCAATCTACCCTGGAAGAACTCATAAATAATATCTCTTTCTATTTTCCAAAAGTTTTTTTTTAATCAGACTCAGTCTGGCTCCTTTTTTTTTTTTTTGTTAATCTAGGAAAAAGAGAATATGGTACTGAGCAAATCAGTCTGGTAGTAGTAGTAGCTCTTCTGAAAATTGCTCAATTAGGGTTGAAAAGACATGGCTCTTCATGGGTTTCTTTCAACTTCACAGACCTAGACTTGGACCCAAAACCTGGCGTGAGTGGGAGAGAGCCTGGAACAGAAGTCACCTTTCTTCACTTAATTGCTCATCACCGCTAACCACACAAATCATCACTTAATGCTCCTAGAGGGGGAGGGTAGTTTAATAAATCACATAATTCTACTCTCTTGTTGAGTGAAATGTATTTTGCACAGTGAAAACTAGGAGAGGACCACACAGATGTTGACTTATTATTTTCCTAAACTGTGCCATCCTGAGTTTGAAACTGTTCTCAGATTTCCTTCTGCGAAGCTGATTCCACTGGGTTCGGCTCTCTCTCTTCAATGAGTCATATATCCTAGGGATATTTTGCCCTTCCTAGATGACGCACCTGACTTGGTTGAGGCCAATGTCATGAGGTAAATTTGCTCATGTCAACCTTGGATTAGAAATGCCACGTCTCAAAATGCTCCTGCCACACTGATACTGCTGCCAGAACTTGGGGCACACACATACTGCCTGAAGACCAACACACCTGCCTCACTCTACCGGAACGCAGCATCTGCCTCCTCATACCTGCTTCATCCAAGATGCCTTTTATTACATTCTTGTCAATGTTTGCAGTATATGCAACTCAGCAAGTATTTAGCAGGCACCTACATTACAGGCACTGAAAAACAGACAACAAGTTCTGGATCTCAGGGAGCAATGCCAGGATGATGGGTAAATGCTCACTGATATTGACGGATAAGGCAGAAAACAGATTTTGAAAGAGTCATTCAAACGAAGTGTTCCCAGGCTTCAAAGGAGTAAAAAGATGAGGAACTGAGCAAAGTTTTCATGGAAGAAGGGTCATGTAAGATTGCTCTATTTTTTGTTATATCTTATTTTTCTCTTTATAAAAGTAATGCATGTTCATTGTGTTTAGTAATAAAAAGAAAGGAGAAAGTAAAAATCCCTTACAATCCTGCTACCCGGAAAGAATCAAACATTTTGATACACATTTTCCCAGGTGTTTCTGTGTGTTTGTGTATATTTATGTTTACATATTTGAGATTATACTATATACTATTTTAAACACATTTGTAATTTTAAAAACAGAGCAGGAACACTTTCCAATTCCACTAAACATTCTCTTATACACTTTCCATGGCAGTCTATTATTCCATTTTATGACTCTAGTATAATTTATTTGACCTTAGTTTCTATCTTTGGATTCTTACCAAATGTTATGCAATATTTTGCTATTATAAATTATATTAAATAAAATAGTGATACATGCCTTTATTTTTTCTTTAGGATAAACATTCCTAGAAATATTATGCATATTGCTAAGGCTTTAGATACAGAAATGTCAGAGCCTTGCTAGCCCATACAGCAGGATATTTGCATGAATGAGAAAAAGGCATCTCTGCCTGTAGGCCCAGTTCCACTGGTAAACAGCTTGACAAGCACCTGACATTTCGATTTTTTTCAAGGTGCCCTTCATAGGACATATAGTTTGATGAATACAGGGCAGACAAGATAAAGGTCTCATTTGACCTAGAGATCTTAAACACAACTCAATCAACCATACATGACAGGCCTGAGAAAGGTTTGAACAGTATATATTGCTAATTCTATTCCATATATCTAGTTGGCAATTCATATATTCTATTTGTTTTGTGTAGATAGTTGCAATCTCTTTGCCACATTTTTTTTAATGAAAAGGGACAAGTTGACTTTTTCTTGTTGATTCTGAATATATATATATTCATATATATATACACATACATATATATCAGATGCTTTTTCCCAAAACATCTTTTAATTTCTTATTTTAAGAGAGTATTTATAAGAAAAAAAGAGAAGTTTTATTAAAAGGCTAGTGACAAGGACAGTTCCGATTAGAGAGAACATCAGATGTAAAAACACATCAGTAAGAAAGCAGAGGGTGTGTTTGGAAAACATTGAGTCTTGAGTTGAATCACAGAATGTGCGTAGAGGGAAAGTAATAAAAGCCCGGTTGTGAAAGACTGGAAATAAATTGGATAGAATCTCAACTCACTTGAAAAAGGGGAGCTATTCAGTTTTTGAGTAAAAATGTGAGGTGAAATGATCAGAACTATAAAATGTAATCAGGCCACAGGGTGTGGGATGGACTAGAATGGGAGTAACCAGAGGCGGGAACGCCAGTGGGGAAGCAATTGAAATTCCCGAGGTGAGTTACCTTAAAGCCAAATGAGCGGGGGCCAGTTGGGATTTAAACACACACATGCACATACACACACAGAGGGAAGAACATGAGAAACAGTTTGAACTGAAGGGCAGAGATCAACCAAAGAGAAGCACAACTTCACGTCTAAATGACCAAAACTATAATATTCTTAACAGAAAGAGGGAAGACATTGACGGGTAGGGTGGGAAGAGAGTCCTGCTGTATTTACATATATTGAGAACAGTCAGATAAATCCATCAGGAGGGCGGGAGAAATAACTAGAAACCTAATCTTCTGGATGAAATTGTAGGCCTTTATAAAAATGAGGCCCTGGAATCTTTCCTTTTCTTCCCTGAGTACCCAGGAAAAACTTTGCTGACATGGATAGTTAAGCAGGAGCCCTGACAACACTTTACTGAGACTTTTTCCATTCCCATTGATTGCTAAATTTGTCAGCAACTTGCAACAGTACCTCTTTCTTCTCAGAGTTAGGGCTCCTTGTTCGCCACTTAATGCGAAGGAATAAAACAGAGAAAATTGAGCTCAGGTGGGTTCTCATAGAAAATTTTATTTCTAATTGCAAATGTAAGTTCAGCAAAGAGGAGGGATTTCAGACTCGATGTCTTCAACTTGTTCACAGATGAATATTACTGATAATGTAGTGAGTATTACTGAATATTAACTCCCTGAATGTTGGTCTGCCTCCCAGAATCCAGTTTCAAACATGACCAATTACTGGATGGATATAGATTTCACAAAGGCCCTGACAATCTGGTCAGAAGGCCCTGAGATGACTTGGGGTTACTCTGAAGCTGTGTCATGGAGTGGATTGAGTCAGTAGATTTGTGCCACTAATAATGCTTCTCTTTACAAGAGTCAACTAAACTACTTTGCTTCAGTGTTTCCATCTGTAAACCAAGGAGGCTGGATAGTTCTCAAATTCTATGTTGGACTTGAAATTCATCCATCCATCCATCATCCAATTTCTGAATGCCAACAATGTGTAACAGCTGAAACCCCATTAGTGTACTTTTCCACATAATGCCATTTCTTACCTGATCATAGTAACGCAGGTAATATTTCACGACATAGTCCACCAGGTTAATCCCATTATCCTAGGTTTAAAAGAGAAGCTTAAATGAAAATCATTCACATGAGACTTTGCTATATTATATAGTTGAGAGCCCAAACCTCAGTTTGTGACCCTAATATGTACTTTTAATTTGTGCTACAGGGTACTGGTTCTGTTTGAGCCTGGTAAGATTCCCTCCTTGTCCCATCCATTTTTTATGGCATCCATATAAAGAAATGACACTACACTTACTACTCTTTGTGTGGCTAAAAAAAAAAAAAATCCATAACACCTCTGAGGTAATGGCCAGAACAAACAAACAAACAAAATAAACAAAGCACTGTCCCTATATTTTCTGGTATAAAGACAAAACAGGAGGGGGCAGGGGAATGCTAAAGGGAACCAGGGACTAGAACAGAAAACCATCCCTCCCTTCCCACCTTTCAAAAGATGTGTGTTCTTAATGGCGTGAAAAACAATCAGGGCAGCTTAAAAGGAATGCAGTGCCACTTTATGACCCTGGGATGCCAGGAGTGAGCAGGCCCTCCCACAAGGCAGCCTTTGAGTCTTGTTCACATGGGTCTAATTCTAATTTGCCTGTGTGTTCCCCTCCCTCCACTCCTGCTGCCCCCAATGGGATTCCTAGGTATGGGCTGGTTGTTTCTAAAGAGGTGGCTCTGCAGGGGTGTGGAGCCAAATGATAATCAGGTTCAGAGAGTCTGACAGTAGATGTCCAGCCCAACTGTTGTGGGCAAAAGAATAGCTCAAATGCTCAGCTCAATTGGTGATTCAACATTGCCCCATTAGCAGGAATGTGAAAGTTACAAGCAGCCAACACTAAATTCAAGCCTTATATCATATACTCTCTGTTTTATTCTTCCACTACAGTTCAACCCCTAACTGTGTATTTTAGAGCAAACAAATATCAGGAATTTTGTCATCCAAATAAGATGAAACTTAAAAACTGTATCTTTATTCAAAAGTTAAAAGAAAGAAAAGGTAAAATGTACTGTGAGAGGGAAGACAGAGATAAATAGATGAGAAATACTTTTTCTTTTTTAAAGTTAAATGTATAAAAGAAAAATAATGGCAGACCATAGACATTCATTATGAAACAAATAAATACCCGACTTTTGACGTCCTTGAGTTTGGGCAGAATTTCTAAACTGTATCCATCTGCTTGTCCCCGAGTCCTATTTCCTCCATTCATATAATTTCCAAAAGCCAGAATGAGAGCTAAAATATCCTTCACACTCTTCATGTGCAGTAAGCCCTGTGATGGCAAACACCAATTATCATGCAGCTAAACTCCAAATATACTTATATTTATTCAACAACAAATATTAGTCCTTTATTTTAGGGGAAAGAAAGCTAAAAGCACCCCAGGACAACTTCTGTTCCTGACTTTTAGGGTGCTAGTAGAGGGCATATATTATACTTTGGTAATATTTATACATTCCTTATTGAAATCTTTTATTTGAGAAAGAAAAAAACATGCCTCAGATAAGCAACTAAATACTACTGCATTTGTGGAGAGGATCATGTTCTTAAGGACGTGGGTCATGAGAAAAAGCTAAGCACTAGGATTTATAATGAATACCATGTGGCAAAGCCAACAAAAATTTATTTGCTCACTATTCATTATCATAATCATTTCCTTTATCATATCTTTAGTATCTTTTTTACTTCACTATGTAGCACATTTCAGATGATCCAATTCATGGGTCTAAGGCAAAACCTCTTTTGTAATCCAGACAGTTGAGTGAAAAACAAACTATACTATTTGGGTTGGTTTTAAATAGCCAGTATGTACATTGGAAGGTATTTGGAATATTGGAGAAGAAATCTGTAAAAATGTCACTTTTTCCCATTCTCTCCTTCTACCCCCCTTTTTCCCTCTCCCCCTACCTCACCTGTATGCACATGCATCCTCACACTTAGGCAGAATAATCGTCAAAGCTATACTTAGAAAAATATACAAGGTTTTGGCAAAGGGATTCTAGTCAATCTCTCCCACTTCCTTCTTTATCTTTTACCCCTAATAAGGGCAAAGTTATCTTTTTAAGTTAGACAGCAAACATACCTTAGAAGCTCGTGTGATGATCTCCACCTTTCGGTGCAAGGAAGTGATACTCTCGGAAAAGACAGATCTGAAGATGATGCACTGGGCACGTTCAGCAAAATTAGGGATCTGGGCTAACTCATGTAAAAATCTGTAAAAATTAAGAAGGAATCATCTGGCTTTGCATAAAAAAAAACAAGTAAAAACACAGCTGAGCAAGATCCACTGTGAGAGTGTTCCTTATTTGACAATGTCAATTTAACAATTATAAAAGGTATCAGGCTGCTTAAGCAACTCCAAGGGTATGTGTTCTACTGTTGACAGCAAAGCCACTTTTTTATAGGTTTCTATGATGACAAATAAATGCATGATGTATAAATTACTTTAGGAACAGAAAGTCAATGCAATTATACAAATTACAACAAGTTGTCTATCTCCTGCTACCCAAATAGGAGACTAAACCCGTGAGAAGTGTTAATCTTTAGTGTATGAGAAAAAATACATGATACACTCTTTTTATAATGCAGCATTCTCAAAGGAAATATGTGTACAGGCTTAGTAAAGTGAAGACTGGGGGTAAATTCTGTAGGTAAGTGATAAAAAAGTCTCTTACTGAAGTGAGATAACTACCATTTTCTGCTCAATGAATTACATAATAGTCAGTAACATTCCCTATTCTATTGATATTTGTTTACTTAACTGTATAAACCTCTATCAACTTACACATATAAACAGAGCTCAAACTCAATGCTCGGAACAAAGCAGGCATTCATTAAATAGACACAATCTAAAACTTCTTAAAAACTATGGCAAGGCAGATCTTAAAAACTAAAGGTGAGTACCAACCTACCCACAAAAGCTCACTGTCTGAGCAGTTGGGCACTGGTGCCTTTTGCAAAATTGAGTTGGAAGAGCTACACCCTCTCCAGGCCAACCACTAGAGAGAGGGGTATAAAACTAAAACAAGTAGGAAGAGTTGGACATGAATTCAGAAAAAGAGAGAATCCACTAACAGCAATAAAATCCATTTGGGGTTGAAATGATTATTACCTGACATTTTTGAAAGTCTCAGTCAACTTATAACATCATTACTTTGATATTTTGCAATCTCTCCCCAAGAATGCTTTTCATAAGGGGAAAAGCTGGAACCTCCTTCTTTCCATACCCAAGGAAATTCCCTTAGCTTATACTCTGCACCTCTTTTACTTTATTTTAGGGAGCTCTGGATTTTAATAAGATTCTAATTACCAGCTGTTTTTCTGATTGATCCCACAACCAGGTGAAATATTTTCTTTCTTTTAATGACACTGTGATGAAGCAAAGAATACCCATAAAGAAACTGCACCTTTGTTTGGAAGTTCTGTAATGGATAAATATGAAAGCTGTGTAATGGGTATAAAAGTGGAAACCCATAAGAATTCTGAATTAGGACAAGATGAAAAATTATATTTTTATGTACATTGTTTCATTATAAAGTTAGTATTAAACCATTGATTCATTTATGAAGTAAGGGATATCACCAATTTTCACAAATATAAGCAGTAAAAAGCTTTTGGAAGGGGGGCATTTGGTCCTGCAGTGAGTCTTGGGAGGTTTATTTACCCAATGCTTCTGAGAGCTGCCTCAAGGACATGCCCTGCACTTTTCTTATTCCAAATGTGGCCATGACACTCTAGTCCCCAAGTAGGACCCAGATCCCTAGAATATGCAGACTTCCTAGAGTAAATTAACACAGGAGTGAAGCATGTACAGAGACTACATGAGAGAATATATTGAGCAGTACTTCAACTCAACAACAAAGACATGATAAAAAAGAGGAAATGTTAGATGAACAATAACTAATAACCAGTCTTTTAACAGGAGGTTTAGGACCAATATGAGAAGATAAGCCCATAGGCTCACCAACTTACGTTACCCAGGAAAGAGTAAAATTGAGCTGCAAGGCTCTCTGGAATTAGAGGCTCCTTGGGATCAGGGCTTGCAATAGGAAGGCTGACAGAATCTTAGAGCCAACATCCTGTGCATGGAAAAGGGCCTGAAACACATATCCAGAGTTGGACAGGGAAGGGAAACTCAGGAATTTTACATTATTTTTGGATATAATTGTAGAGAGCATCATGGAAAATGAATGCCAGAGCATCAGTCACCAAGACGGATTTTGTTCAGTCCTTTAGAAATGTATGAAGCATTTGCAGTGTCTCGGGCAGCATGCTAAGACCTGAGAATAGAATTTAACTTATACACGGTTCCTTCTTGATAGCTTGGGAAATAAAAACAATTACCATGGAGTGTGACAAGTATTATCAGTGATGGGACCTATAACAGGAGCTATGGAAGCCACATATAGGGTGATGAAGTCAGAGCCCTGGGAGGACAGTGTCAGCTAAGGTTTCCTGGAACTTCTGGTGCTGGCCAGACATGTGAGACACTGCCAGGGAGAGGCTCGATGGGTTGAATAATATTTGTGGGGGAGGTGAGTAGGAGTCAGATGCTACAACGGGGCTTGGTGTTCTAAAGAGTTTAAACTTTTTCTAAATGAATGAAGGATTTTAAACACAGAAGTGATCATTTCAGCTTTTTGTTATAGAAAAATCACCATGGCTGTGGCTTGACTGACTGACTGCAGGTGACAGGAGTTGTGAGGCTGGGAGACCTGTACAATCAGAGCTGTAATATTCTAAGAGGGAAGGTAAGAGTGCCTGCAGTGTGAACAGAGAGGGCAAAAGGATGAGGAAGGTACTAAGGCAGGAAGAACCAGAGTGACTGACCAATCCCAAGGGATTGTGAGTAGCATGCATGCAGAATGATTTGCAGGTTTTTGACTTGAAAACCTGGTGAAATGTTAATATATGATATAATGAAGCAGGAAATTTGGAATAAAATGCTCTTATATCACATTCTGTCCAAAAATAGTTACTCAGAGCTTTCAGGAAGAGCACCATACTCCTTGCCCATTTACCTGGGAAAATATCAGAAGTGTACATAAGCTCAAAGGTTATGAGGCAATTGTCTGATAAATATCTTATTTTCCAACTGTGTTTTATTCACTACTCATAATAAATCTTGCTTTGGGACTTTGGGCTTAGGTACTTAAGAATAGTTATAGATTGATTTCCTTTAGAAAAGGGTAGTCCAACTTTATACCCTAAGCCAGAAATAGGAATAAATACCCCTAAAGAAGCTGCAAACTAGGGACCTTTCCTTTCTTTCCCCAAGGCAGGCCTATTTTCCCAGGAAGGGCTACCATTTCAGCCTGTATATGGTAATTCTATGCCTCACATTGTGTAGGTTACTCATGCACAGCAGCAACTCAGCTGACAGGTGCAGTGACACTGTGTGGCCCATTGATTTTAAGGGACTAACATTTGGTTTATCATTCCCTAACCACCCCCACCCCCGAATGGTATTATACCAGGTGTGTGTGCACATAAAGGCTGTGTGTGCAGCATCACTTATGTTGTAACCCGTGTTCCTCCATAAAGGACTACATTCACAAAAGCTTGTTTCAGACATCAGCATGTCTTCTTTGTGGGTGCCCCAAGGCAGCTGGGTGCCTCATGGAGCATTCCAATAGGCTGTCTATGGTGTCCTCACTCTAGGCCAAAAAAACTTGTGTCAGGCCTAATCAAATCCAGTAGAGCTTCACCCCACCTCACTTCACCTCACCTACCTCACCACCACCCCAAGGCAGAGTGTAAAGAGTAGAGGGCCATTTCTGAAGGGAGTGGCTCTCAGACAGCCTAGTTCCAGGCAGATGACACCTTTTTGGGAAATGGCTTTCTAAACCTGGCACTGGGGTGCAAGGAAGCTGATGAGGTGAGTGATGAGGTCGGCTTCTCCGTGCTATGATTTACAGGACTGGGCACCACAACACGTATAGGAAATTGTAATGCCGGAACTATAAATGATTCGTATTTTCCAGTATGTAAAACATGCATACAGTCATCTAACTTGAAGCTAATGGCATATAAATTGTCAGAAAATCAGGCTCTGGCATAATCAAACATGCACTGTACTGTGCAGAGGATCAAAAGGAAAGGTGAAATGCGCTCAGGCCTGAAGTCCTGACCTCTCTATGCATCACCCTCCGCAACTGCGCCCAAGCACATCCCCTCATGGGGACAGTACAACTTAGCATGTCCAGGGAGCTGTTGCAATGACTATTCACAAACTTTAAAAATGCACTTCTATCTATATCATCAGTACAGAAAGCAGGAATAGTAAGTTATTTGCTAATTACCTGCTACCATTACTCTGTGTCCTGGCAACTAACCTTAAGAAAAGAATGCTGGAAAAGCATTAACACAAAAGGAAAGGAGAACACTTCCAGTAGCAGAAACCCAACTGTTCAATTCCACTGGGTCCTCCATTCCCTTATCTTAGAGCAGGGGTTGCACGTTGTGGCCCACAAGCCAAGTTCATCCCACCACTTCTTTTGTATGGCCCATCAACTAACTAAGAATGGTCTTAACATTTTTTTTCAATATTTTTTTTACTTATTGATTTTTGAGAGAGAGTGATCTATTGTTCCACTTATTTGTACATTCACTGGTTGATTCTTGTATGTTACCTGACTGGGAATCGAACCAGCAGTATTGGTGTATTGGGACAATGCTCTAACCAACTAAGCCTGGTTTTAACATCTTTAAATAGTTGGAAAAAAAATCAGTAGGTTAACATTTCATTACCTGTAAAATGAAATTCATATTTCAGTGTCCATAAGTAAAATTTTGGGGGGCGACAGGCATACCCATTTGTTTATGTATTGACTGGTTGTTTTGCACTTCAACAACAGACTTGAATAGACTGAACAGACCGTATGGCCCATAAAGCCTAAAATACTTACTGTCTGGTCCTTTACAAGAAACGTTTGCTAACTCTAGACTGGGAGTATCATTGCTCAAAATGGCATAGTTGGCACTCCCTAAAGGCTTGATATGTTTTATTGTCCCTGTTAAGGACTAACTGTGCTCCTGTTCCCAATCCATATGTTGAAATCCTAACCCCTATGTGATTATATTAGGAGGTAGGGCCTATGAGAGGTAATTAGGTCATGAGGGTGGAACCCTCATGAGTAGGATTAGCACCCTTAGGAGAAGAAACAAAAGGGTTTGCTTCCTCTCTTTGCTTTTGGCCATGTGAGGGTACAAAGAGAAGTCAGCAGTCTGCAGCCTGGAAGAGAGCTCTCACCAGAGCCTGACCATCCTGGCACCCTGATCTCAGACTTCCAGCCTCTAGAACTCTGAGAGATAAACTTCTGTTGTTTATCAGTCAACCAGTTTAGGGCATTTGGTTATAGCAGCCCAAGACAGTCTTCAAATACTCCCCATGTACATCAGTGTCTAAATATTCCACTATTAGTCACTTAATTTTTAGTGGTTAGATTATTAGTGGGAATTAATTTATTGTATTAAGGAAATATGAGTTGGAGTTGGACCACAGAATCCATCAGGGGTGGGGGTTGGTAAGAAGGGCGGTTCAAGCTGCTGGAACAGAAGGGCAGTGGAACTCCATCTGTGCTGATTCACAGCACTCCTAGGCTTCGTGAACTATTATCCGTGGGGCAGGGGGTTGCTGACCTATACTACATGTGAGAACCATTCACCTAAGCTTCCCAAAATTATCATGAAGGTTTATCAGTAACTGAGTAAACCTAGAAATCCCCCACCCAGCCATTTAGAGATGTCTTTCTGGACTGGAATGACCAGGCATCCAGGGGAGAGCATTCTAGAGGACCCCAGGGCAAGGCAGGAAGGTTTCTGTACAAACCACAGAGGCTTGAATGTCTTTAGGGCTGACTTGTTACCCTAAACTTGATCACTCAATTTTCTCTTTGTCTCCTATCCTTGCCTGATCTCCAGGCTGAGAAGGGTGGTGTGAATTGGACACGAAGCACTCGAGACAGCAATGGGCAAAGGAGCCCTCTATCTACTCCGAGCCCACTCCATATTCTCACAGTGTCCTGGTGGGGCCATACATAAGCTCAAAAGCTTATGTATGGTTTGCAGACCCCGAGAGCCCAGCCAAGGACAAGAGTCACTCAGTTGCACATGAGAGTTCTGGGTTTTTAAAGGGTATGGAACGACACCACAACCTATAAAGCAAACAACTCTAGATAGTGAATGGAGAGAAGAGCACATGCCAAGAAAAGATGAAAAAGTCACATCTGAATTGGGCAGAGCAGGTGGAGAAACTTGGGGAAAAGCTGGCACATTCAGGCTACATTTACTGGATCCAACACTTAGGAAAATCAATTTCAGTGCTGTGCTCTGACATCTTTTTAACTGCATCTGCAGAACCTTAAACAGAGCAATGACTTACTCCTTCCTCAGTTACCCTTTTGGCCAGAATGTTTAGTCTAGGAGGAATTAATAATTTGCTAGAACAAGAAAGGGGGAGTCATGAGGGATGGGGAAAGGGGTTGAGAAATAGTCTCTCCAGCAGCGCAAAACTCGTGGCTGCTTTTCCCAGCAGTCAGGTCATTCTGCTACATGCAATAGGTCACAGGAGTGATGGAGCTGAGACTTAGTTCACTGCACAATTTAGAGGTGATTATTCAGAGCTGAGATGCAGGAAGATAGAGCCTGTACTTTTGGCCCAACAGAAAAGTGTTCAAGTATCCTTACTGCTCAGGTTTATCCAGCAGCTTCAATTCTTCTTCTTTGGATGTCTCATAATACTTTCTTATTTTAACCAATTCATCCTCTTGGGCTCTCTGTGTTCAAAAAGAAGCAAAAGAAAACACACACACAAAAATAAGCAATGAGAATCTGTCTACAGCAGCAATTTTCAACCTTTTTCATCTCATGGCACATAAAAACTAATTACTAAAATTCTGTAGCACACCAAAAAATATATTTTGTGGTGATCTGACAAAAAATACGTACAATTTTGATTCACTCACACAGACGGCTATTGTTGTGCTGGCTGTTGTCATACTTTTATTTGACAATATAAGGGAAAAGAGGTCAGTGCTCCTGACTCAATAGTCAGGTATCTATCGCCTGTTCTAAAAATTCTCGTGGCACAGCAGTGTGCCACAGCACACCAGTTGAAATCGTTGGTCTAAAGCAACATGTCTCAATGTGTGGTCTCTGAACTAGCAGCATCAGTATCACCTGTCACTAGTTACAAATGCAAAATTGTGGCCCTACCCCAGACTTAAGAAACTCCAAAGGTGGGGCCCAGCACGCCCTCCCAATGACTCTGGCACATGCTAGTGTTGGAGAATCCCTGGCTGATACAAATGGTCATAACAAGTGACATTAGCTGGATACAGAAGCCAGGACATTGCGTTGCTACCTCTGAAACCTCTGTTTGCCTGTAAGGAGGTATGGGTCCAATTGTTTTTAGCACTTGCTTCTTGACGCTCAACAGCCCTTCTAACATATGTAGGCTGATGATTTTTTTTATTTCTAGTCACCATCTTCTCTTTTTTCTAAATTTTGTACGCATTCCTTATCTGTATCACTTATTTTACCATTCGATTGCACACCACTTACTTCTACTGTGAGCTAACAAGTACCAACAGTGCACAAAGTCTTAAGTCCATGGTAACAACAAAAAGCATTCAAAAGGCATTACGCATCTTACAAAGTCCTTCAACATCAATTATTGTATCTTCGTTTTACAGGTGATTCCACTGAGGTTTACGCTAAGTACCTGGTAAAGGGCCTGACTCAGAATCTTTCTCCCATGATACCATGCTGCCCTCCAGGTACTAAACAAATGCACTGTCAGCTCCTGATGGCCTGGTATTTGTGTGACTTCTTGTCTAGTAAGAAAGCCTTACTGATAGAAATGTGAGAAGTTTCTACCCAATGTGAGTACTAAAGAGCTCCTGATATGTATCAAAGATGTGAAAATGTGTAGGGAACTGTCAATGCTATGAGGCTGGATTGCTGCATTATGACAATATTCTATAAGAGACTGAGGTCCTAGGGTACATAAGTATTAAAATTAACCATTTTTTAGCTCAGGGACTATTCATATTACAGCGCTCCAGGAAGCTTCCTGGGAAATACCATTACTTCAGTAAAGAGAATCTGGTTCAGTCTGTTTTCAAATACTAACAGAGTCAATGAAAAAGAACAGTGAACAACTATGGGAATTCTGACTCTCCTGTGCCATCTTCTCAAGACAGTCTGCAGTTGTGCTCGTCATTTCCACATATAACCCAAATCTAAAAACCGTATGTGTGTACAGTGCTGTGTATTTTCAAAATACCTTGTTACTGCTACAGACACTGAATTCTTTTAATACTCCTGAAAAATTAGGTACAGACCATTGTAATTCCCATTGTCTTGATAATCATGCAGGCTTAAGGAGTTTAACTGGACCAAAGTCACTCAGCAGCCAGTGATAGAGCTGGACCTGTCTGACACTAAATCCCAAACACTCACCTGTCATCCTATACTACTGCCCACATTCAACACCATCAGCTCATTTGAACTATGAGTAATCATCCAAGTTGGTATTAGCATTTCCATTCCTCAGAGGAAAGCACTGGTGTATACCAACATTAAGTCAGTAGCTTACCTTCCTTAACTCTGATAGTAAGCTATAGGGCTGAGTTCTGTGGCAAACGGGTGGTCTCTACCTTGAACCACTCTCCCTTGTAGGTATACAAAAAGATCTACTAACTTAGCCACCAGAATGGGGTGAGGGAGCTAATGCTTTTCTTATGTCTGCTCTTATTTGAGCTTGCATTTCTTTGCCTCAATCTTATCCATGCTATATCTAAACCCCAATTGCCAAAGAACATGAATGAATGGATTGGCAACTTTTCTAGAGGAAGGAGTCATGTATGACGTTTTTTAGACTTTAACATTTTTTTAATCCTCACCCAAGGATATTTTTGTTGACTTTAGAGAGAGAATAAGGGAGAGGGTGGAGAGGGAGAAAGCAGAGAGAGAGAGAGAGAGAGAGAGAGAGAGAGAGATATGTGAGAGAGAAACATTGATTGGCCTGGCCAACTGGGGATTGAATCTGCAAGCCAGGTACGTGTCCTGACTGGGAATCAAACCTGCAACTTTTTGGTGTATGGGATGATTCTCAAACTAACTAAGTCAGCTGGCCAGGGATAGACCTTAACATTTTTTTGTTGTTGTTAAAAAGACATGGAAATATGGACTCTAACTCTGTATGTCTTTGATACTCACGTTTTCATATAGGGCTGCCAGGGTCTCAAGATCAACCACGGAATCATCCACATTGAAAATGGCTGTCAAACACCCAAAAAGAGAGAGAGAAAAAGAGTAACAGGTTTGATTAGACTCCCCCATACTAACATTTATTTCACATCTGGCTTCCAAGCAATATAATATTATTGCACTTTCTAATAGAAGCTGTATCTGTTAGCATGTTCCTATCCTTCTCCTTTTGCACAAGGGACTCCAATAAAAGAAACCAAAATGGTTGGTTGCTATTGCTGGCCTGAGCCTTGGCCTCGCCTGGTTTAATTCCTCAAGCTCTGTGTCCTTTCTGCAGTTCAATTTAGGCTCCACAGGACAAGTGTATGTGGTTTAAAACTAAATCAGTTGTGGGTTTGGAGCACAATTTTAAATCTTTCTTCCCCACTGGTAATTGAAGAGATTTAGTACCTAACGCAACAGAATTGACTCTTGCCCATTACCAGGAAGAAAGAGAGAGAAAAAAAGACAATGTTGGCAAATTAAATGAATTCAGGCACGTGATTTCAGGAACTTTTCCATGGCCACTGCAAACAGCTTGCTTGGATTAAAAAGACAAGAAAAAGCAATAATTGCATCAATGGCAAATTAAGATTATGGAAACCTCCCAAGAATCAGTCTTAAGGCAAATTCTCATTCCCGTGGGTTTATTAGGGTTCTACTTGTTGTTCTGTATCTTAAATAAGTCACTTAGCAGTTAACTAATATGCTGACGATTTCATGTAAAGAGATTCCTTCCCATATACACCAGGATGCAAACAACGAATTTAAAGCCTTAATGGATTTGGCAATCAAAGTGTTTGAAATAGGCTGCTCCACATCTTTAAATAATTATTCAAAACTAATAAGGTTTGTTCCCCCAACCCCACCTCCCTTTGCTGACTTTACATTGTGAAATTAACCAGCACGCTAGTAAATTTTCTCCGTGGCAGGCTAATTAATTTTATTAAACCAACCAGAGATATTTAGAATGCCTTAAAATTCTGCTCGTCAACCATTATTCTGTTCATTGGCATTACACCATGGCTTCAGAGAAGGTAGGGATCAAGGTAAAGGGCAGGTTGCTTTCAAATTGTTTTGCTTCTTCTGCATTTTGAATCATATGAACCCCTTTACACAATTTTAATAAAGGTAATTAACTCAGCTAAGATCGTGTAACTTCACAGAACACTGAGAAATGTACTTAAAATTCCTTTACAGGCCACATTCTCTAACCTAGGAGTTAATCAGCAAGCTATTCCTAGATACATGGGGTAGTGAGAAAAGAGGAGGTTAACCAGCGAGTGACGAAGCCGGTCATCTCAGATTCTACCAAGACAAAGAAAAACTACATTTCCAAAAAAGCCCATCTGAAACCACAAAAGAAATATGTAGTTTGAGGGAAACAAATGAAAGACTTTACCCTCCCAGAACTGTTACTTTGTACACGGAGATAACATGAATTCACTAATTTATTAGATAGACCAGGCACTTCAGCATGTCGGTTGCTTTAAAAAACAGAAACTGGCCAGGAATAATGTATATTTTATGTAAATTCCAATATTTTCTTACAAAAATCAGTCATCAGGAATGCAATGAGAAAAGGTAAAATTCTAAATACTTTATCAGAAAATGGTCACTTCTAATCATACACCCTTGGTACCATATATGAACTGTAGATTTAGGTATGATTGAATAAGCTTAACTAATGAGAAAGAGAATGATCTGTACACTTCTTTTCCCAGCAAGGAAATACCTGGTTTTTAAAAGTTGATCACTTTGTGATCCTGGTAAGTTTATGTCTGAGCTTTAGCATATCCATAAAACAGGTGTAATACCATTTACTGAAAATATTAAGAGAGGTAATGAGTATGCTTGGCATAGCACCTAGAACATGGTATAAACTCAAAATGGTATCTATGAACTGTGACTATTGTAATTTTAAATCACAAAAAACACATTGTTAATGTGTTTTAACATTTTTTAATGCCTTATATACTCTAAGATCTGAAAAGAACTAGAGAAAGAAGACTGCAACTATTGAGTAGTTTTGTGTGATAAATGTAACTTTCCAGAATTCTTGAGTGTTTAAGATAGGAGGCTCAACTTTAGGAAGCATTTCTAATAGCAAAGGTATATGCACAAATAACTATTCACAAAATAATGTATCAAGTGTCAGAGGGAAACAGAAGATACCTTTGGGTCCATCCAGAAAGTTAACCTAATTTTTATCTCTAATTTTCATCTTTTCTGCCAATCCACACTTGATCATACCACCAAAGTTAGTTTTTGAAAACATAGGTCTCAAAATTTCACTTTGATCTTTAAAATACCTCAGATATCTTTCCCTTAAATATTGGGTGAGGTCCAAACTATATGACCTGATTTTTAAGCCTATCCTCTTCCTGGTTCCAAGCTACACTTCCAAGCTCATCTCCTACCACTTCTATTTCTCCCATGTGCCCTGTGCTCCAGCCATCTGGGCCATTCCTGAATGTGTGAGGCTTCGTCCCCTCCCATACCTCATCCTCCGAGGCCCAGGTGAAAGGTTCCCTTCTCTGGAAGGACCTCCTTGATCTTGGGATCATTAGGCTCTCACTCTTTTCTTCTTCTGAGGCACTGTTCTTTATTTTAAGAACCTGTATTATGTTTGGTTGCATAACAGTTTCCCTATCCCACTGGAGGGTAAGCCCCTGTAGTCACGGATAGTTGGACACACCTTGATAATGCAACTCCCAGTGTAGTACTTGGGGTCTAACAAGAATAAACTAAATATTGGTGGATGGGGTAAATGCTACAGGAATCCCAAAGAGTGAGTCCTTCTGTTAGGGGTCAAAGTTTTCTTAATAAAGAGAACATGGGGTCTTGAAAAAGAAAACAAAGTACTTTTCATCTGATTTTGACAGATGAAATAGTGTGGCCATGTTTCTGAATTAAGGTTGTTTGCCCACCCACCTCCATCAGTCCCTGTTAAAAAATCAAGGCTTAGTCAGAAGAGTTGCAGAATCATGTTCTTACCCAGCATAGGTGCATTGCTTGCCTGAATATTCCATATCAAAAAAATAACAAGTGAATTTTCTCATTTTTTAAGAAAAACAATCTTTTCCCACATTGTTAACTTTCAAAAACTTTTAAAATAGCAGTATCATCTTAGGAATAAAGGTTACCAGTAAAACTTCAACTGTTATATTGCTTCAGGCAGGCACCTGAAAAACCTATTTATTAACCACCATTAATTAAGCCAAATTCATCCCAAGCAATGACAGTTTGTAAATTTACAACAAGTGCCAGTGAACATCAACTGGAAGGACGTGAGAGACATTCCAAGTGGAAAAAGCAGATGCAGACAGGATGATGGAACATGCAGGCAAATGGCAGGTAGTTCATATTGGCTTAAAGGACGCATCAATTAAGTGCACTGAGGAGATAAGACTCCACCATGGTTTGGAGCACGATCTTGTGGGATTCTGAATGCTGAAATGAAGAGACTGCAATGCACTTGGTACACTGCAGGGAAGCATTGAGTGAGTGGGGAAGTAAGCTGGATAGCATTATATTACATAGGAAATATTAAGTTTGGAACGACTGGTTTAGAACCTCTTCCAGTGGGTAAAGGTAGCAAAAACCTGCGTACTATGGACAGAAAGAACAGGAGCAGAAGAGAAAGACACTAGAGAGCATGCAGAGTAGTCATTATACCACTCTGGGTACGCCACTCAGCTCTGGGACTGAGGAAAATGGAGTGAAAACTACTCGGAGGCTTTATGCCCAGATTTGGGGGAAGACCTTTGGGCCACCCGCAGAAAAAGGCAGCAGAGCCTAAGAACTGGACATGCTTGCTGATCTTCCCTCCAGGACCTGGGGAAGGAATGGGAGAGAGGACATGACTGGTGAAGAAAGATGTAGATGACAGATTAATTTAGGGCCAGTGCCAAGTATCCCACTGTGGTTTCTCCTCTTCCATGTGAGGATCTTAAAAATAAAAGTAGAATAAAATTCAGAAGTAGTGGGAGCACCATAAAGAGATCACCTGGTTGAGCACATGAGCTTAAGGAAATTAAATTATTTATATTATTTCTATCCCACAAAGCAGACAAAGGAGTTTAGGTAATTGCCCAAAGGTCTAAAAAGTCAAGAAAAAAAAAACAACTTAAGTCCTACTTGTCCTAGGAGAGCTTTCTTGCATGTGCATAATTCTGCTCCCTATTCACCAGAAACAGTGCAAATTTCTATGTAAGGCCAGAATTAGTGCCTGATAATTCTATTTCCAAAGTTCTGGGGCAGTATATCAGAGAACTGACTCCTGAAGGCATGTACCATCAAACTTATTGGCATTACACGAACCCATTTAATTAGTTAACTGATGATTACAATGTAAAAAGAAATCGATCATTGATTAAAATATTTTGGAGTTACCTACGATCAGGTAGCTCCCCCATTTTATACCTTAAAAACACAGTTTCTCTTGCTCTGTCCATCTGCCTCTCTCACACACAGAATCACACACTCACACACTCATATACACCTTTTATCTTATAAGTTGAATAAGCAAATACCAGCCTACATAATTCTACAGCACGCCTCACAGCCCCGATACAGTAATTCCAAGTAATTCTAGCTTTTGTTCCCCTCTGTATAGGGCTCATTATAGCAACACTCCTGCAGATGGTGTCAGAAAGGTGAAGTGTCAAATCCACAAAGGGGAGACCCCAACAACTCATTGCTACTGCAATATCAATCATTGCTGGTGGTTTTTACTTTTATCTCCCTCTCTCCTTAGTTATTCCCACTCACACTGTCAGTTCAGCTAGAATATTTCACCTACACCTCACAATATGCCGAAAGGAAGTAGACACACGCTGTGAAAAGCTGGTAATTTTATTGGGTTCCTTTACCTTTAAAAATCTGTTACTTGGTCAAGTCTGGTTTCTGGGCTCCTTTTTTGCAGGGAAATTGAGGCAAACATTTTTATGTGGTCCTCTGGTGCCTGCTCTGTACTCTAAGAATTATATACACAAGGATCATTAGAGTAGTGTTTCGCCCATTAAGATAT